ACTACTCTCTCTCTCTCTCTCTCTCTCTCTCTCTCTCTCTCTCTCTCTCTCTCTGCCCAGCCTCTGAAGGATTAGGCTTTAAAGCGAGCGATAATAGTGTGTCCTTGATTCTTCCTGCGCTGGACGGACAGACGAACGTACGTACGGTGGCAGAGGGCAAGCCAGAGCTACTTCAGTTGAGATCGATAAGACGTCTGTCTGCAAGGATCGCTTTTCCAGACGTGAAGCGTGATAGCGAATTCGGAGGTGGAGCGACAGTCTCGAGGAAATAAGTGCAAAGGCAAGTAAAGGTACAAGTACAAGTATTACGGCCCCCTTCAAACTCTTCTCTTATCCTCTCAGATGCTCCCTCCCATCCAGTAGAAGCAGAGAACGGCTGGTCATATGAGGTCCCCAGGCCTCGGACGTGGCTAACATGCGTCGCACCCACCGGGGATGAGTCGCTACTGCGTTGGAGCATCACAAACCTGATCGCTTTGTCTTCCCCATCTGATCGCCGAACGAACGACATGGTTTTCACACATGATTCCAATTTGTTGCGAGGGGGTGGAGACGAAGGGCGTGATGGCGGAGAGGTGATTGTGCTGTGACTCGTGAGCTGTGAGATGCGGGAGGGAAGGTAGCGAATCAATGGCATTGGGGGTGTGAGCGTGCTGGGAGTGACTGTCGAGGAGAGAGAGATAGTAGATTCTGCAAACTGGTGGATAGGCGGCACAAACATAGTGCGCTGAGTGTGAATGAGTCTTGGAGTAGAACTGAAGTTACCCCTGGCTAAGCGAGGGATCCTGAGAGAATAGAGCGCAGTGGTTTGATGCCAGGTCAACGAAGTGTCGTTGTGTGACCTCCGGAACACCTGCAGTCGTTGTCCAACATCATAGGAAGGCAGAGTATTCTGCATTGATGACTTTCAGGCAGGAGAATAGTACAATTAAGAGGAACGTTAGGGTATTTCTCAACGTACAGGCGCCACGAATTTAATCATCGAAATTCAAAAGCAAGCCACCTCTTTTTCAAGGCATCATCTCCTTAACAGATTGAAAGTGATCCAATGCAGTTTCAATGTCTTCCTCGCTGGGCGTCCGTCCAGTCCAGCTTACTTTGCCACTGTCTGGGATGCTGAAAGTATCCAACTTCCCAACTAGCTCGTCGGTGATGGCCTGAACATCAAGGTCCAGGTAGTTTCGGAGAAATTCTCCTATTTCGGTGTTCTCGTGATTGCCGTGCAAACCTTCTGAGCCGGCCGTTCCATATATGTTAACATCCACCGCGGTATGGCCATGAGTTGACCATCCGATTTGGGCACGCCGACTGATCATGTCCGCGAAAATGTAAAAGCTGAGCAGCGGATTATCAATAAGAGATTGCAGCTCCTGCTTGCTGAGGTCTGTGATCCCCAGGCCCTTTCGTACTAGGTTTTCACTGATATACTTTTCGAGCTTGTCAGTCTTGCCAAATTCAGCAATGTATGAGTTCAGCTGTCCAGCTAGATACTCTGATGAGTGTGAGGCATTGGCGAGAACTTCGGGAAACCATTTATATTCGGGGTACGCAGGGTTTATTTCTACAGATGTCAGTTTATTCACTGAGGATACGTATCTAGAACTTACGTCTGGCTACTGAGAGGCCACCGGTCTCGTGGTCAGATGTTGCAACCAAGACACCGGCATTCTCTGACCTCTCGATAAATTCAATGACAGATGAAAAAGCTACATCATAAGCGAGAACCTCGTTGACCTGTGCAGCGGGATCGTTTCCGTGGCCTGCGTGATCGATTCTACTTCCCTCTATCATCAAAAAGAACCCCTTGTCGCTGTCTGCGGTTGCAAGTTCGAGTGCCTTCAATGCTGTTCGTGCCATTTCGTCAAGCGAGGGATAGACATCGTTCATGTTTCGTCGATCAAGATCGAATGGGATGTCTCTGTCGGCGAAAAGGCCCAGGAGAGGGAGCTTGACATTGTTCCCCAAGTCCAGATCGTCAAAATCTCCACGACTGTCAATGTAGCTCCACCCGAATTCATCCTGCGCCAGCTTGGTGATATCTCTGTCGTCAGCTCTACATCCACCCTCGGAAGTATTTGGGAGGAAATGGCATCGACCACCGCCAAGCATGAGGTCGACGACCCGTCCAAGGGGATGTTCCCCTACTTCCTGTTGCGCGATCAAATCTTGCTCCATTCTCATCTTGACATGGGAAGCGAAACAAGCAGGTGTAGCATCTGTGATATCTGTTGTCACGACCAATCCGGTGAGATAGCCCGCCTTCTTTGCAGCTTCCAAAACAGTACCGCAGGGCGTATAATCGGGTAGCATAGATATAGCCCCATTGTAGCTCTTTAGTCCGCAGGAGAATGCAGTTGCGCCAGCGGCCGAATCAGTAACTAGACTGCTACTAGAGCGTGTGCGAGAGGAGCCGATAAAATGTTGATCAAGAACGAGAGTGTCGTCGATAGGGACGCCATCTACACCGTCAGTAAGTGGTTTCAATCATCGAAGCTTGGGAGGCATACCTCGAAACTGCCGAAACGACCTGGTCATGGACAGACTCGCAGGCCCCATACCATCTGACACCATGAAAATCAAGTTGCGCTTCCCAGTTGGTTTGCTGGGTTGTGACTGTCCCTTGCCATCATGAATGTAAGATTGGTGTTGTGTGTAGACCGCAAGAACGATAACAGCAGCTGTAGCTATCAAAGCCCATGTAAACAGCCCAACTTCGCGCCAGAACCTAACTCGATTCCGGGATGAGGATGAAGTCTTGTGGGTGTTTCCTAGTAGAGCTGTGTCTTCGTCTGCAGCGCGCTCTTCGGAGTGTAGAGAGGAGTCTCTTCTATTGCCCGCAAACAAAGGTTCGGCGGGCGCCATGGTGGTAGTAGTGTAGTGGTGTATGTTTGGATTGTGAAACGTCTTTCAGATTTGCATTTGGGAAATCTAATCCTCTTGGATCAGAGGAAAACTATATGTAGTGAGCGCTCAGGTAGAACGGAGACGAGAGAGACATGACCGACCCAGGTTCCTTGTCCTAGTTGACGTGAAGGGCACGAGGAACGAAAACGCATGGCGCAGCTTGCTTATCGGCACGATAAGCATCACGAGTCGGCTGCGGTTGACCTCCTACATGGTCTGTCTCTACTGTATTCCGTACGCAAGGGCACTCACTCAGTACGTACTACCTCTTCCAAAACATTTGATCTGTCTGATTTCGTACATCCAGAAAGTCTGATTCTCTGATCCGCAGATTTCCTCTCCACAGATCCATTTCCTTGGAGCACCGCGTCGCATTTTGCCTCGGATCTCTCAAGGCCTAGTTCGCAGACTTAATGTGTTTAGAGGCTAGGTAAGTAACCACAGAGAGAGCAGCCCTTGGCTGTCTAGGAGCAAGTAGTATGGAACGGGTTTCCGATGCTAAATACAGATAATGTACGATCGGATTTGGTGCTCTTTTCAAGAAAGTGATGTGGATGAATTCCTTGAGCTTGGGAGTCTTTGAAATCGAAAACTTCTTTTCCAACACCTCATTTGGTAGACTCCTCAATCACGTACCCAAAACACGAGGCCGGGTGGCATTTCGCTTAATGTTGGCAATCAAGTCTTCATAGTTTGAGGAAGCCCTGGTATACAGCTATTTCCCCGCTGAGTCCATGCAAGCCTGCCCAATCGAACACCCCAAAGCAACCGGATCAATATCTCACCCTTTAACGCTTCTTTTGTTGAGACTCCTTGAGCACCTTCTTGACGATCTTCTGCTCCTCAATCAAGAAAGCACGAACAATTCGATCCCGGACACAGTTGGCACATCTCGATCCTCCATAGGCACGCTGAACGGTCTTCTTTGGGCGGGAGATTTGCGAGTATTCGCGGGGTCGGAGAGCTGGGATCTGTTGCAAAATGGTGTTAGCCTCTGAAACTTCCTTGTTGACCTCCGAAATGTGACGAATGGATTCCCTCGAATAGTGACGATGGCCGGCTCCCATGGAGTTTCGTTGAGCATATGCTCTCTGCCACCGATGCGACTGAAACTAAGGTCGCCTGGCCTGCCCGCCCCCGGTACACATTTCCAACTCCCACTTCAGTTGTATCCCATCTTCAAACGGCGAATTCTGGTTCACGTACTCCTGGCAACTTAATTCCGCAGTCTCCACACTTAGGGGCTGGATTCTGTTAGTAAATCGTTCTCCGCAAAATTTTGTCCAAGGGTAAGACATACCTGTGCCGGCCTTCTTGATGTGCAAGTATCTCAAGCTTCCTCCTGGGGTCTTCACAACGCGAACCTTGTTGGACTTGGTGTTGTATCTGGGGCGGCATGTCAGAAGAGACTCCTCTCAAATTCACCTCGCAATGTATCCAATTCGTTCATTGGGGCGAGGCTTTGCGCATGGGCTTTGTTTCTCGGCCATCTGCACTTTCTCGCAGAAACTTACGGGTTGCGGCGTCTGTAAATCAATCTGTTGGACGACATTTTGGCGGTAATTGTCGATGGGGTTGTCGTGCGTAATTCGTCGTGTCGTCGTGATGTTTAACCCAAAATCTTTCTTGTGTGAATCGCTTAATTGTGTTAGTGCAGCTTTGTATCACGTGAACTTGACATCCCTGCATCGCGCTAAATAAATGAGCTAACCTACCTCCTGACTAGTGAGCCTTGAAGTCGACCGAGAAATCTGTTGACGCGACTTCTGAATTGCGCCAGCATCCTTCGCCTCTAAACTCGCCACCAGGAGTTGGACACCTCGACATCAATCACTTAAAATGTCGAGCTCTATCCCACCTCCCCCCCCAGGATGGAATTCTGGTCCGCCCTCAATGGGTGCGCCCCCCTCAGGAGCTCCCCCGCCGCCTGGATACCGGCCAGGCAACGCCCATACAGCAAAGTTTGCGCAGAAGAAGAAGGAATGGCTGCGCACGCAACGAAATCGGTTCGGAGAGAAGAGAAAAGGAGGATTCGTGGAGACGCAGAAGGCTGATATGCCCCCCGAGCATCTGCGCAAGATCGTGAAGGATATTGGAGACGTTTCACAGAAGAAGTTCAGCAGCGACAAACGCAGTTACCTCGGAGCTCTGAAATATATGCCCCATGCTGTCATGAAGCTTTTGGAGAACATGCCCATGCCGTGGGAGTCTGCAAGAGAAGTTAAGGTGCTATACCACGTCAATGGATGCCTGACACTGGTCAACGAGACCCCTCGAGTTATCGAACCGGTATTCCATGCGCAATGGGCGACCATGTGGGTGTGTATGAGGAGAGAAAAGAGCGACAGAAGACATTTCAAACGAATGCGATTCCCACCTTTCGATGACGAAGAGCCTCCTCTTTCCTGGTCAGAAAACATCGAGGATGTCGAACCATCGGAGCCCATCCAGATGGAACTGGACGACGGCGAAGACGAAGCAGTATTTGAGTGGTTTTACGAAAACAGACCTCTGCTCGATACACCGCATGTCAATGGCCCCAGCTACAAGGAATGGAACCTCACATTACCCCAGATGGCAACCCTCTACAGATTGAGTCACCAGCTTCTTAGTGATCTTGTTGACAAGAACTACTTCCATATGTTCGAGCTGAATAGCTTCCAAACGGCAAAGGCTCTCAATGTTGCGATTCCTGGAGGACCTCGATTTGAGCCCTTGTATAAGGACGTTGATCCAAACGACGAGGACTTTGGAGAGTTTAATGCGATCGACCGTATCATATTCCGCGCGCCAATTCGGACTGAATACCGAGTGGCATTTCCATTTTTGTACAATTCTTTGCCACGAAGCGTCAAAGTTTCTTGGTTTTCACACCCCCAGATTGTCTACGTTCGCGCTGAGGACCCAAGCCTTCCAGCTTTCTACTTCGACCCGGTCATCAACCCGATTTCATCCAGATCAGTAGCACCCAAAAACATCACAATCAGCCACGAGGATGAGCTGTTTGGATTCGGCAGCAACGAGGAGCCCGAGGAGGATGCGTTTGAGCTCCCAGATGATGTTGAGCCTTTCCTTGCAGACGAAACCCTTTACACTAACGAGACTGCTTCTGCGATTGCCTTGTGGTGGGCTCCATTTCCATTCGATCGACGATCAGGAAAGATGGTTAGAGCCCAGGATGTACCACTAGTAAAGCAGTGGTACTTGGAGCATTGCCCACAGGGCCAGCCAGTAAAGGTCCGAGTATCCTACCAGAAGCTTCTCAAGACCTATGTTCTTAATGAGCTTCACAAGAAGAAGCCAAAAGCGCAGAACAAGCAAAGCTTGATGAAGTCACTGAAGCAAACAAAATTCTTCCAACAGACCACCATCGACTGGGTTGAAGCTGGTCTTCAAGTTTGCCGGCAGGGTTTTAATATGCTCAACTTGTTGATCCATCGCAAGAATTTGACATATTTACATCTCGACTACAATTTCAACTTGAAGCCTGTCAAGACTCTAACCACCAAGGAGCGGAAGAAGTCACGGTTTGGAAACGCATTTCATCTTATGCGTGAAATCTTGAAGCTGACAAAGCTGATCGTGGATGCGCAAGTGCAATATCGACTCAGTAACATAGATGCCTTCCAGCTTGCGGACGGTATCTTGTATGCCTTCAACCACGTCGGCCAGTTGACTGGGATGTACCGTTACAAGTACAAGCTTATGCACCAGATCAGATCTTGCAAGGATTTGAAGCATTTGATCTACTACCGATTCAATTCCGGTCCAGTCGGTAAGGGTCCTGGATGTGGTTTCTGGGCTCCGGCTTGGAGAGTCTGGCTATTCTTTATGCGTGGAATCATCCCATTGCTAGAGAGATGGCTTGGGAACCTACTTTCCCGACAGTTCGAGGGCAGACACAGCAAGGGTGTTGCCAAGACTGTAACCAAGCAGCGTGTTGAGTCACATTTCGATCTAGAACTTCGTGCTTCGGTTATGGCCGATATGATGGACATGATGCCCGAGGGTATCAAGCAAAACAAGGTCAACACTGTTCTGCAACATCTGTCGGAGGCCTGGAGATGTTGGAAGAGTAACATTCCCTGGAAGGTGCCGGGTCTTCCCGCCGCTGTCGAGAACATAATTCTCCGTTATGTGAAGAGCAAAGCAGATTGGTGGATTTCCGTGGCACACTACAACAGAGAGCGTATCCGCCGAGGTGCTACAGTCGATAAGACAGTAGCAAAGAAGAACTTGGGACGTCTGACTCGGCTGTGGCTGAAGGCTGAGCAAGAACGACAGCACAACTACATGAAGGATGGTCCATACGTATCCTCCGAGGAAGCCGTGGCCATTTACACCACCACGGTTCATTGGCTCGAATCTCGAAAATTCTCGCCTATCCCCTTTCCCAGTGTTTCCTACAAGCACGATACCAAGATTCTCATCCTCGCCCTGGAACGCCTCAGAGAAGCATATTCCGTCAAAGGACGACTCAACCAAAGTCAGCGCGAAGAACTTGCTCTTATTGAACAGGCCTACGACAGTCCAGGAACGACTTTGGAGAGAATCAAAAGATTCCTTCTCACCCAGAGAGCTTTCAAGGAAGTCGGCATTGACATGAACGACAACTACAGCACAATCAACCCTGTCTACGACATCGAGCCCGTTGAGAAGATTAGCGATGCCTACCTCGATCAGTACCTGTGGTACCAAGCCGACCAACGCCACCTCTTCCCAGCGTGGATCAAGCCCTCCGATTCTGAAGTACCGCCTCTACTTACATACAAGTGGGCTCAAGGAATTAATAACCTCGACAAAGTTTGGGAGACTGCGGACGGCGAGTGCAATGTGATGATTGAGACACAGCTTTCAAAGGTCTACGAGAAGATCGATTTGACCCTTCTCAACCGTCTTTTGAGACTCATCATGGACCACAATCTTGCTGACTACATCTCCTCGAAGAACAACGTGCAGTTGACTTACAAGGACATGAACCACGTCAACAGTTATGGTATGATTCGAGGTCTTCAGTTCTCGGCTTTCGTATTCCAATACTATGGTCTGGTTCTTGACCTTCTATTGTTGGGCCTGCAGCGTGCGAGCGAGATTGCGGGGCCACCTCAAAGCCCAAACGACTTCCTGCAATTTCGAGACCGAGAGACCGAGACCAGGCATCCCATCCGATTGTACACCAGATACATCGACCGCATCTGGGTACTTTTCCGTTTCACTGCAGAAGAGTCGCGAGATCTCATCCAACGTTTCTTGACGGAACAGCCGGATCCCAATTTCGAGAATGTTATTGGCTATCGAAACAAGAAATGCTGGCCCAGAGATTCACGTATGCGCCTCATGAGACACGACGTCAATTTGGGCCGCGCTGTTTTCTGGGACATGAAGAACAGACTGCCGAGATCTGTCACTACGATCGAGTGGGACGATACTTTCGCCAGTGTCTATAGCAGAGACAACCCTAACCTTCTGTTCTCCATGTCTGGCTTCGAGGTCCGAATCTTGCCCAAGATCCGCAACCAGAATGATGAATTCCCCGTCAAGGATAGCGTCTGGTCTTTGGTTGACAACACCAGCAAGGAGAGAACCGCCCATGCTTTCCTCCAAGTCACCGAAGAGGACATTGCCAAGTTTAATAACAGGATCAGAAATATACTTATGAGTTCGGGGTCGACGACCTTCACCAAGATTGCGAATAAGTGGAACACCAGTCTGATCGCCCTCTTCACTTACTACCGGGAGGCTGCAGTCTCCACAGTCGCGCTTCTCGATACAATCGTGAAGTGTGAGACGAAGATCCAGACCCGGGTAAAGATTGGACTGAATTCGAAGATGCCATCCCGTTTCCCACCTGCTGTTTTCTATACACCCAAGGAGCTCGGTGGGTTGGGTATGATTTCAGGTAAGACACCTCCGGAAATCTCCTCGCTTTTGACGGATACATACTGACCTTCAATGACAGGCTCTCATATCTTAATACCTACTTCAGATAAAAGATGGGCGTCCCAAACCGACACTGGCATCACTCATTATCGCTCAGGCATGACTCATGATGAGGAAACCCTTATTCCCAACATCTTCCGCTACATCATTCCTTGGGAGGCGGAGTTCATCGACTCGCAGCGCGTCTGGACTGAATACTCCCAGAAGCGCCTCGAGGCCAACCAACAAAACCGAAGACTCACACTCGAGGACCTCGAGGACTCTTGGGACCGCGGTCTGCCACGTATCAACACCCTTTTCCAAAAGGACCGGAGCACGCTCAGCTTCGACAAGGGTTTTCGAGCTCGAACCGAGTTCAAGACATACCAACTGATGAAGTCTAATCCTTTCTGGTGAGCGAGCACCTTGCATTCCTAAAAGACCAAAGCATTTACTGAATGTCCGATTTCTAGGTGGACAAGTCAGCGTCATGACGGAAAGCTCTGGAATTTGAATCAACTACGATCAGGTTGGTTAATCCTACGATGATACATGAGGCATAACTGACATGTAAAAGATACTATCCAGGCGCTTGGTGGAGTTGTAAGAACCCTTTTTTTTAGAGTAAAACCAACAACGCCCTGGTTCTTGATCTAGATCTAGATCCAGATCTTGACATTCTCCAGAAGTGCTTTGGATGAACACGGTCAACAAGCCAGCAAGCCTGTGATCTAAATCGCAAATGCCCTACTCCACTAGCTTACAGACAGAAATTCGCAAGGACAATCGCTAATTGATTAACAGGAAACTATCCTCGAGCACACCCTGTTCAAGGTGCGTAAAGAATATCCTCTCCTTCCCGTAAAAATTTTCGATAAAACAAATTCTGATCTTCCGTATCGTACAGGCGACAGCATTCCCATCTTGGGAAGGTTTGTTCTGGGAGAAAGCATCCGGTTTTGAGTAAGATATCCTGCCCTGTCCTGCCCTGTGATTCAATTGAGACCTTGGAAACTGTCCTCCAAAGTCTCCAAATCTCGCATGATGGAAAAATGGTTTGCTAAACTTGCTCCTTCAGGGAATCGATGAAGTTCAAGAAACTCACCAACGCCCAGAGATCCGGTCTAAACCAGATCCCAAACAGACGCTTCACTCTTTGGTGGAGTCCTACGGTATTAATTCGTTGTCTCTGGAACTTGAAAGTTTGCTAACAAGTGTAGATCAATCGAGCAAATGTCTACGTCGGCTTCCAGGTGCAACTTGACTTGACTGGTATATTTCTACATGGAAAGATACCAAGTAGGCCGTGCCCCACCCCTCTATGAGACTCAACTGCTAATCTCTATGCAGCACTCAAAATCAGTTTGATTCAAATTTTCCGCGCCCATCTCTGGCAGAAGATTCATGAGTCCGTAGTGATGGATTTGTGCCAAGTTTTTGACCAAGTCAGTATACCCCAGGCTCTTTTCTAAAAGCGAGCATTTACTGACTTCTCACCCTTCCAGGAACTTGAACAGTTGGGGATTGAAACCGTTCAGAAGGAGACTATACACCCCCGGAAGTCGTACAAAATGAATTCGAGCGCAGCAGACATTTTACTTTTTGCCAGTCACAAGTGGAATGTTACTCGCCCTTCAATCCTCTTCGACACCAAGGATGTCATTGAGCCAACCACCACAAACGTAGGTCTCTCTTAAATCATTTCTTACTCTTCTCCCCAAGCCTTGTAAACTTGGAGCTAATATACCCCGATAATAGAAATTCTGGGTCGACGTTCAATTACGCTATGGAGATTATGATTCTCATGATATAGAACGCTACACGTGAGTCTAGCACTGTTCCTCCTCACCTACTACAGAATTACTGACTCTGAATTTTTCAGCCGCGCCAAGTATCTGGACTACACCACGGATTCTATGGTACGTGACCCTAGTCTCAGACATAGCTTCTTCCTTCCCGAAACATTTTCTATGGTAGCATCTGCTGATATTCCGGCTACTTAGAGTATCTACCCATCCGCCACTGGTCTCATGATCGGTATCGACCTTGCTTACAATCTCTACTCTGCATATGGACAATACTTCCCTGGTCTCAAAGCCCTGATTCAACAGGCCATGGCAAAAATTATGAAGGTAAACCCAATCACCTACTCTATTGCTCCTTTTTTGCACCCAAATCAGTGAAAGTACTGACTTCGCGGTCTTAGGCCAATCCTGCATTGTACGTCCTGCGAGAGAGAATCCGCAAGGGTCTTCAGCTCTACGCAAGTGAGAGCAACCAAGAGTTCCTCAATTCGCAAAACTACTCCGAACTCTTCAGCAACCAGATTCAACTGTTTATCGACGACACGAATGTCTATCGTGTGACGATTCACAAGACTTTCGAAGGAAACTTGACGACAAAACCAATCAATGGTGCTATCCTAATTTTCAATCCGCGTACTGGTCAGCTCTTCCTCAAAATCATCCACACGAGTGTCTGGGCTGGTCAGAAGCGTCTTGGACAGTTGGCAAAGTGGAAGACTGCTGAAGAAGTTGCCGCCCTCATACGATCTTTGCCCGTGGAAGAACAGCCTAAGCAGTTGATCGTCACCCGAAAGGGACTTCTTGATCCGCTCGAAGTCCACTTGCTCGATTTTCCCAACATCTCGATCCGTGCGTCTGAGTTGCAGCTTCCATTCCAGGCGGCAATGAAGGTCGAGAAGCTGGGTGACATGATTCTCCGGGCTACCGAGCCTCAGATGGTGCTGTTCAACCTGTACGATGAATGGCTAAAGTCCATCTCTTCATACACAGCTTTCTCGCGTCTCATTCTGATTCTTCGTGCTTTGCATGTGAACCAAGATAAGACCAAGCTGCTCCTGAGACCAGACAAGACAGTCATCACACAAGAACACCACATCTGGCCCACGCTGTCCGATGAAGATTGGATCAAGGTCGAGACACAACTACGGGATCTCATCTTGAACGACTACGGCAAGAAGAACAACGTCAATACATCCAGTTTGACGAGTAGCGAGGTACGAGATATCATTCTTGGAATGGAAATCAGTGCGCCATCGATGCAACGTCAACAAGCCGCCGAGATTGAGAAGCAGCAGCAAGAGCAACAGCAACTCACAGCTGTCACCACCAAGACCCAGAACGTCCACGGCGAGGACATCATTGTCACGACAACTTCCCAATTCGAGCAGCAAACCTTTGCATCGAAGACGGAATGGCGGACTCGTGCCATTGCGACATCGAATCTTCGAACTCGGGCGAACAACATCTACATTTCATCTGATGATATCAAAGAGGACGATCACTTTACTTACATCATGCCGAAGAACGTACTCAAACGATTCATCACTATCGCCGATCTCCGCGTACAAGTCGCTGGTTATCTGTACGGGTCGTCTCCTCCCGATAATGACCAAGTCAAGGAGATCCGATGTATTGTCATGGTACCTCAAATCGGAAGCACACGCGATATCCAACTACCTCAGCAACTTCCACAGCATGAATACCTGGAGCAATTGGAGCCGCTGGGAATTATCCACACCGTGTCCGGAAACGATCCGCCTTACATGAGTGCCATGGATGTCACTCAACATGCTCGCCTCATGAACGCGCACAAGTCATGGGACAAGAAGACGATTAGCATGACGGTTTCTTTCACGCCTGGTAGTGTATCTCTCTCCTCGTGGGCTCTTACTCCGAGTGGCTACAAATGGGGTGCTGAGAACAAGGACATGGGCAGCGATCAACCCCAAGGGTTCACCACGAGCATGGGAGAGAAGTGCCAGCTTCTGCTGAGTGACAAGATACGAGGTTACTTCTTGGTACCAGAGAACAACTACTGGAACTACAGCTTTATGGGAAGCGCATTCGGAAGTATTGAGAAGAAGCCGGTGCACGTTAAGATCGACACGCCGCTGCCGTTCTACAGTGAACAGCACCGACCTATCCACTTTCAGAGTTTTGCAGAGATGGAGGATCTCTGGGCCGACCATGATGATAATTTCGCATGATGGGCTCAGGGAAGGTGTCTAGGCTTTCAAAGGATCGCTGCTGGGTCGGGTTTAGGGAGGGGGGGGAGAGCGAAATTGGCTCTGCTTTGCGATGGTGGTGGAACATGTTGTGATTAACAAATCTGGATCGTGGTCGTAAATGGCGTTTGGTCGGAGGATGGCGTCGATAAATGTAACATATGTATAAGCATAACATAAATCCAAGCATTCGTTCTTTTCTACCTTCCTAGATCGAGAGAGCATAGGCGAAGCAAGCCCACGTGCCTGAATGATCAACATAGATGATGCAGATTCTGTTGCAATTAAACGCCGGGCCGTAGTACCTGTTTTACTCGGCCTCGGACCGACAACGATGAAGAAAAGGGCGATGGAGAAAAGACGGCTTTTTGATCCCGGGGCCGAGATGCAGCTGCAGAGATTTCTCAATGTGAAGTCCGGTAGAGTAACGAGTAAGTAACGCTTTTTCTGGTCTCTCTTCGGCATTGCATTCACCGGATGCGCCGGTAGGTAGGGAGGCATGCAGTAGTTAGGGAGATATCTATCTTACTACTAGTAGTACATAGTGAGCCATGCATCCGACCACTGCACAATGAGAGGGATGTGAACAGCGGGAAGGGGGTTGGGGGGAAGGGGTTATGAATAGGGGGTGATAGGGAACAGGCAGTATATACTCTGGAGGTACTAGTAGTTTCGACCCGACGACTCCTAAGTGGGGATGTAGCAGATAGATTAACCGATGGATCCGACAGGGAAGACAAGGGCAAAGGCGATCCTTTTCTTTTTTCTTTTCTTGTTATACTTTGATCTAGAAACAAGATTTTAACATGTTTGTTTTTTTTTAGAATTTGACGTAGTGCGGTAGTAGTACGTAGTAGTAGTAGTAGTACTTAGAAAAGCCAGACATTTTAGCTCGTAACCGACCGGGCTTTTACCGGGCGTGCATGCGGCTGGGCGGAAGCCTCAGGAGCAGATTTTTTCTTACCTGCTCCCGTGGCCTTTCACGACTGGAACTTGCTTTACAGCATGTATATATTTATCTATACAGTGGATTTTACCACGATCACAGATATACGTGACTGGGACATTTTTATGCCCTTCTCTTCCTCTCTTCCTCTCTTGCTCTCTTCCTCTCTTCCTCTCTTCCTCTCTTCCTCTCTTCCCCTCCTCCTCTCTTCCTCTCTTCCCCTCCTCCTCTCTTCCTCTCTTCCTCTTTCTTTCCTTCATTCCTTTATTCCTCAATTCCTTCATTCCTTCCTTCCTCGCCTCTGGGCTTTCTTCGTGGCCCGAGCCCGTCTCCATAGGAAAATTTCTTGCTTGCACGGATCTTTTCGTAATCGTATCGGATGGCTCGTATCGTATCGTATTCCACCCCTT